GTGAGAAATAAAGGAAGGAAGGAAGAAAGAAAGAAGGGGAGAGAAGGAAGGGAGAGAGGAAGAGAGAAAGGGAGAAAGGAAGAGAGAGAGGAAGGGAGAAAGGAAGAGAGAGAGGAAGAGAGGAAGAGAGAAAGGGAGAGAGGAAGGAAGGGAGGGAGGGAGCGGAGGGAAGGGGAAAAAAAAAAACAAACAGGGAGAGAAGAAGAGAGGGAGGAAAGAGCACAGTTTTCATGTCCACAACTTCCTCAGAAGGGAAGTACACAGCTGAGTCACATGGCAGAAGAAACACAATGGCAGACTCAAGCCGGGGGTGGGGGTGGGGGAGATGAATGCCTGCCCTGTGGACAGTGGCCATCTGCTGGGCCGGACAGCCCTTGCCTCCCGCCTGCCTTACCTGTGGGCTTTGTGTTCTTGGGCTACCTTCTGGGTCAGTTCCTCCAGAACAGCCTCCTCCAGGGCCAGGTCCTATAAGAACAGAAAGCACTTCATGTCAGGAGTTGCTTGCAAAAGTTGCTATGCTGCTTGCAAACCTTAAAAGCTCCCTTCTCCAGATGATGCTCCTGATTAGCCCACTTCCTCAATCTCTCCTTTACTCCTGCAGAATGAAAGGTTGTAGATTTTAGGACTGAGTTCTGATTTTTACTGTGATAACAAGGCTCTCCACGATAACTCGGGTTATCTCTAGGTATATTTTGGGTTGCCACCTAAATTCTGTCGGACCCAGGAATGGCTCTTTTTTCATTTACCTTCTTCCCTATCTGCCTGCCTGCCTCTCAGATGCACTTTTACAAATAATGCTTTGCATGTGTTTATACACTTTTAATGATCAAAGTATAGGCCAGTGAGTTTTCAGGACATCATCCCTTCAAAAGTTGAGCCTAGGAAGGGGCGGTACAGGGCCTTTTTGTCCACCTCCACAATTCCAGCAAACTACAGTCATGCATCACTTAACAACAGGGATACATTCTGAGAAATGTGTCATTAGGTGATTTTGTCTTGGTGGTAACATCACAAAATGTACTTATACAAACCTACATGGTATAGCCTGCTACGCAGCTAAGCTATAGGCTAATGGTATAGCCATCATAATCTTTTGGGACCACTGTCACATATGCAGTCCAGCATTGACTGAAATGTTATTATGTGACACATGACTAATTCAAAGCCACATGAAGGCAGAGCCGGCTCATTCTGATGCCATGCGATGACCACAAGAGTAGAGGCGGCCATGGTGGCTAAAATGTCTCAAGGGAGCTCTTCAAGATAACAGCTGTGGAGCTGACCGGTTAATGTGTCTCAACCAGCTAAATCCCAGGCCCCTGGGACAGGTGGTGCGTTGGCTCCAGTGGGCTGGGAAGAGTCTATGACACACATCTCTTCCCAACTTTCTGCAGTGACACCACAGTGGGAAGATTTACATCATGGAAATCTGGGTGTGTTAAAAGTTTACTGGCAAAGCACTGCTTAGGATGGCAGGATGGAGTCTGGAGGAATAAATCCAAGATGAGGAGACCAAAGCAATCAGTTCCCAAGAGGAACTAGACTGATCTAGAGCTTATCTCATCCTTATGGTAGCCTGGTGGAGTCTGGGGAGGCTCAAGCCACTGGGCCAGCTGCCTCTCGCCTTCCCAGGCAGCAGCTCACCCCAGGCTGGGAAGCACCAAGAAGGGCACACCTGCCTCTGAGCTCTAGAGGGGATGTCAGAAGGGACCCGAGCTGTGTCCTGAGCACCCTGAGGCTCATCCTATTGGGGGTGCAGCGTGGAGGTTGATATTTTAGAAGAAATTATACCAAGTGCCTCATTCTAAAATCATTCATTCTAAAATCCCATCTGTATAAAGATTTGCCTCCAACCTAACAACTTTTCATAGATGAAACACTATTCCAAAAAATGTACACCTCAAAACTCTAAGAAACATCCCATCTCAAATCATGAAAATGTGAAAAATCAATATTATTAAAACCGGAAAATGAGGATATAACTATATACTGGAAATCCTACAGCTCCCTACACACAGATTCTGCTAATTCGATAGCTCATGAGAGACCTTAGAGAACACGGGGGCAATTATAGCAGGTCTTATTATTTTTCCAGTGTCACTGATCAATTTCCTGTTTCCTGTTTAGCCACCCACTGAAATGACTCAAGTTCATGATAGAAAATGAGCTCAAACTTTTCAGTTTGATGCTGTGGAATAACAGAAGCCATGTGGCTTAGACACTTAGCCGTGTGTGCATCTGGGTGTTGAGTAGTAACAATAACCTCACACTAACTTTGAAAAGCTAATGATAGGCACGTGGCAGCAGAATAAAATAAAAATAAGTGAAGATCAGAAAGGTTCCACTGAACCTCTGCTTCCTGATTTTAAAAAAGCAGCCGCCCAAAGGTGCCCTCTGCCACTGTACTCAGCAGCCCACCTGCGCCCGCGCGGGGCCTCCCTGGGGCTGCTGGGGAGTGAGCACGGCCCACAGGGCAGGAAACGCCCTGTGCACGCTGTGGGCACCCTGCGGCCTGCGCTGTGTTCTCTTCTCTGCTGAAGAAATGCCATTTGATGAATTCAGTTACTTCACAAGATCAAACATAGCCATTCACCCTGTCTTCCCTCCCCCAGCAAAGAAATGCATCCTTCTCTTTGAAAGCGCTAGTGGAACTGAGCAGAAAGTTGCCAGCCTTCCATGGCTCCCCTCTGCCTACTCCATCAGGTCAGCACCTGGGCCTGGCATTCACAACCTTCCTCAGTGTGACCCAGCCTTCCCTTCTAGACTTCCTCTCCCAAGGGTTCAAGGCCTCAGGCAGACTCCTCTTCCTAACACGAACTGTTCTTACACGTCCATCCACACTCAGCCCACCCAGTCCCACCATACCCAGATGGAGCGAAATGGCACATCGTCCTTCAGGTCCGTCTCAGCCACCATTCCCCTTGGCCGGGCCTCCCTACCTCTCAGCAGGATGGAAGCCTGTCCTCTGCACCTACCCCTTCCGTTCCGTGTGTGTCTCTCACAGCCATTCTCATATTCTCACACAGTTATTTGTATACTCTTACCCTTTATCCTTATCTCCCTCTTCTGCAGCAATTACTCTTCATGCCACTTAAGGGGCCCATCCCGGGGCTTTCACACAATGACAGCTTGTAAGTTCTCAATGTACAGTAAGTGATCAATAAATATTGACTGAACTAAACTCACTACGCAACATGTAAATTTCACATGGTCAAACAATAGCTTCTAATTATGCACAGCTGGTTAATGATCATTTGTACCTCTGTCCATCCTCCGTCTGCTTCCATTCCAAAATGCACGTAGTGATGTTGTTACCTGGAAAGCACTCTCCTCAATGTCCTTACATTTGCGTAACATAGAGACACAATAATCATGCCAGTAATGAAACTAATAATATGACAACTAAATTAAGTTATTGAGAATTACCCTGAGCCAAGCTAGGTACCTCATGTGCACTATCTCCTTTAATGCGTAAATGGGATTAGGCTTATCTTCATTTTTAGATGAGAAAACTGGGACTTAGGTTAAATAACTTGCCCAAGATCTTATAGCGTCCTCTAGACCTAAGTGGCACAGCCAGGCTATGAGCACAACATTGCTCAGCAACTGTGCTGTGAAATTTCTGACCGTAAGTGCATACAATGTGTGGAGAAGGGGAGGAGGGGGCAGGGTGATGAAAGTAGATGGCTGATGACAAAAGCCTAGGAATACTCATGACTGAGACACACACATACTGACAATAATCTGCTTCTGTCACATCATCTTCAGAACTGCCCAAGAGAACTTTCTGGGATGATGGAAATGTTCCATATCTGAGCTTTCCAACACAGTAGCCACTCGACACATATGGCTATTGAGCACCTACAATGCAGCCCATACAACTGAGGAATTCAATTTTTTATTTTATTGAACTTTAATTAACTTAGATTTGAATGTAAATATCCAAACATGGCTAGCGGCAACCATCCTGAAGAGAGCAATTTTAGATCCAAGAATAACAATCAGTATTGGCTTGTCCAATGGTGACATTTATGGAATCTATGCTGCTTAGGTATCTGATCTGCTTAGAGCCCAGTGGGGAAAGTCTCATTCTCAAAGAAGCATGATGCACAACACAACTACTTCACTACTTCATAGAGCCTTAACCTGCCAAAGCATTTTGCCATCTACAAACTCATAAGCAGCATGCTGGTAATCACCTTTGAAAATGCTGAATAGCTCCCAAGCCTCATCTCTTCCTAAACTCAATGTGATAAAGGCCTTTAATGAGAGTAAGGCAAAAAAAATGTAAAAAATTATCAACCCTCCTTTTTCAGCCACTCCATTTGACACAAAAATGCACATTTTCTAAAATCCTAAGGTTTGAGCTCTACCTTCCTCCCACCTAGCACATTGGAAAACATCCTGACTTTTGAGGTGGGCTTCTTGACAGAGATGTTGATTCAAGCACATTGACGCTAAGTCCTATGAAGAACTTCTTTGCTAAGTATATGTTAATCTCTTTGAATGGAGGTTGACTGAATGGGTAGAATTAACAAGGCATAAAAACAGCAGGCACAGCAGATAGTACTGCCGTTTTCTTGGAAGAAGAATAAGGACTGAGCTATTCATGAAAAGTTAGAGATTTGCAGTATTTCCCTAACTTCTGAGAACAAGATAAGCTTCAGACCAATTTAGATTCATCTCATGCACTAATATGGATAATAACTCCAGCCTTCCTTATCCTAGTCCCTCAAAACTTAACACCTTTGTCACGAGACACTCCACTTTCTCCCATAGCACAGCCGATAAGATGCCAAGCTTTGCCAATTTTACTTCCAAAACATCTCTTGCTTTGCTATCTTGTTTTTTTTTTTTTTT